GGGGTTGCCGTTCGGTTTTTGAGTTCGGTTCGGTGTTGAATTAAGTTTGCGCCTCTCTCTAGCAACAGCAAGAGAGTGTTCCTGTTCGTGCTTCTCTCTGAAAACACCAAAGAGCGTGTTCGCACGCTTCTACATCGACCAGACCAAATTAGACCAGCAGACAAATAACCCATCAAGATCGGGGTTGAAACAGCTCATTCAAGCCATCTAACTAGTCTTACTTTCATTTCTTCCTTTATTTTCTTTTTTCATAAAAGTCTCGGTTCAACGTTAAGTTGCTGCGAAGTTCGTTTAAACGTCTCTCCTGCAACGCGCTTCGAACTGTAAAGACTCTTATTCGCCTGCCAATCACACGTGACCGGCAGTTCAGAAACTTCCATCCAGGCACTTCCAAGACAACCAGCCACACGGACCCGGTCGGGAAACCCCTTTGACGAAGCACCGCAAAAAGGGAACTCCCTAAGCAACGCAAAGACAAGCAAGTATCAGCTACTCCAGACTCTTAACTGAACTGGTGCAAATGTAAATTGAATAACCTGTCTAAGAAACGAAGGTTTAAATTAATGCTTGGTGGTTCGTTCAGGTCATGTCTTACAAAGTGCATCTCTGAAAACTCTCTCTCACTCTCTCTCTCTTCCTCTGCGCCTTGTATGAATGCGTGTGTGTGATTGTGTTTAGACCTTAGTTTTATTATGTGTTTAGAATAGTTAATAAAGTCGTCAATATATTTGAAAAGATATTTGCCTTGTGTTGTGCTTGCACATTTAATGTCTTGTACTGTCGATCTAAAGTTACCTTGCTAATACATAGTGTTTCACTATAGATTGGATATTTATATCTGTTGCCAAGGTTATAATTACGGCCCGTTCAAATGAACTCTAAACGAGTCATTTGCTCGGTTCCATAGTGATTCGGTCAAGATTCAATGCAAATCGATGAATCATTCCTTTTGAGCTAAATTGGCCTTCCGGCCCCCCTTAAATACATTTTATGTATATTATTATTGTGTGATTCGTTACAACGCCCACGGAGAGCGCGCGCTATTCAAACGCAAATGATCTGAGGCGATACATGCAAACCTGTCAACGCCCACACATCAACTCGATAAAACACAACAAGTTTAATCAGATTACAGTAGGCTACTTTACGTCGTCTTGCGAGGCTGTAAGGAATAATCCTGGGATACATCAGAAGTGCTGGTTTAAATTTATTTCGAGGAGCGACGGATCAAGCTGATGCAGTAAGTTTTTTTTTTAAGTGCTTTGTTGTAATCACGATATGGAGTAGCCTATGTAAACTGCAAAAATACTGTTTTAATATGAATCGCTTTCTGTGTGTGAATGAATGAACAGCTTTTACCAAACTATATTGCTATACTGAGATGAGTAAAAATCAACTGAAATATGTTGAAATAAAATGTCTTTGTATAAGCAACTTAAACTGCAAATTAACATTTATATGCCCTAATATATCATAAAAACAACAAGATCTCATGAAAGTGCGTATCTATAGCACGAATTTAATTTCTCGTACCATCCTACGCCAAAAACAGTTTTTGCGTGCAAATGATAGGCTACGCACTGTAAACCCCTTGGGTAGGATTAGGTGTGTGGAGTGCGTGTATATTACACGCCATAAAGTGCGTATCATATGCACACGTAAACTGCATATCATATGCACGCAAAATCTATTTTTGGTATGAGAAATTAAATTTGTGCTACAGATACGCACTTTCATGAGATCGCAACGATATGCCTATGTTACAGACGAATTATGAAAGACAACATTTCGTTGACTAGTTTTTGTTATAAACGTTTTACTGTAAAATAGACTACAGCCACATCAAATAAGCTTTTGTTTTTATAGTTAGTATAGTGTTTGTCAAAAATGTTTTGTCAAAAATAAGACTAAATGTCTACATATAAGACAAATATAACAAAAATGTCTTTTCAAGATGTTTCCAACTCTAACTTTGAACCAATTCTATAGAATGGCCCATAAAGCCCATTTGAAATGGATTTGTTTCCAGGTATGACTAAAAATGTGCTTTTAACTTTCATTTATATTTTGATTATATATATATATATATATATATACATACACACATATATATGTGTGTGTGTGTGTGTGTGTGTGTGTGTGTGTGTGTGTGTGTGTGTGTGTGTGTGTGTGTGTGTGTATGTATGTATGTATGTATGTATGCATGTATGTATGTATGAATGTATATATATATATAGTCCTTGCATTCTTTCTTGTGTGACACACCTGAATGAAAGGCTCAATATTATGCGGGTCTTTGTCTTCTCAGGTGAGAACCACCTAATTATACATGAGGGGTTTGGGCCGTTCACGCATATTGCCTTTCCAAACAAACAAATGTTTTTCACAATTTAAAACAATCTATTGTTTTATGTGAATGATTAGGCAGGATGATTTTCAGATCATTTTGAAGCAAAAACTCTAAGCGACAACATCCATTAGTCAAAAGTCTTGTGGGCAGATATTTAGTATGTGTTTTGTGGCCTTATTTCAGAAACTTTCATTTTTAGTTTTTTCAATAACCATGCATAAACAATATTCTCTCAAAAATACAAACATGTACATACATGTTGCTCACATATTATGGTAGCCATGTTTGTGCTAAATAGAGTGTAATTTCACTTGTGCCATTAATATGTTTATAAGCAACTGAAAAAAGCACAAATGTCAGTGCATGTCAAAACATCTCAAGGACCCCAAAAACACCTTAGACCCCAGAGGGTTAAAAAGTGTTTATAAAAAAAATGCCTACCCTACCTTTAAAGGGGAACTTGGCAACTATAGTAATTTCTTCGCTGATTTTCACTTTTGTTGTCGCATGTTTTCTCATCGAGCTCCCTCTACAGCTGTGTGGCGTATATTTTCACAACATTGTCATAAAAAAACTCACTTGCGGCACCTTCTTCCCACTGCTCATGTGCATTTGTTATTATCGGAGCCGGACAACTTTATCGTGTGGAGTGTCTACCGAGTGGGTAATACATCATAGAATTATGTCGAATTGCCATAAAGCAGTTCGTGTTTCTCGCTCGTTCTCGCTTCTCACGAGACTTCCTATTTCCAACTTACCAGGACGTTAGTCCCCATGTTGCAAAGTTGGTTTTCCGCCTGGGAACGCTGGGGTGAGCGGGGAAAGTCACCATTCTCTCCAGAACAGGTTATTAAACCATTCAAATGATTTCTAAATGGTTTTATTGTAAGTTGTAAGTTTTATTGTAAAATAAGTTGAAATAGTTGCCAAGTGCCCCTTTAATTTTTAACATCTCGGTCTTCTTCTTAGTGATCAATCTTGTTTAATGTTTTCTAATTTAAATGAGCAGTTGTGCGTTTTTTTTCTTCTTTTTTTGCATTTGGGAAAATTAAATAGCTGAATAAAATTCTGGTTGAATATGTTTGCAGAGTGAGAGTTTTCTTGATTAGCTTACTTAGTTGACCTTCAAATTTCAGATTGGAGGTGAAATGGTTGACAATGAGAATGCGCTAGAAAAAGAATTTGTTGTACAGGACCTCCAAAAAGTGTTGGAGAAACAGTATGGTTGTGGTACATTAGTATACGAAACTGATGCCCTGGTGCTTCAGTCATAGTGTGATTCACTAATGCAGACCTCAGGATTAAGACTGCAGTTCTGAATAAAACTAAATCTGTAACTTTAACAGTTATTTCTAAGGATCAAATCTGAGAATAAATGTTATTAGGAGATGACAGAAGACGACACACGTGTTCCAATACAGAATAATGCCTTGGGTCTGAAAAAAAAAAAAAACTATTTCCAGGTGTATACATTCATGTCTCTACCTGTTCAACTGTCAAATCTATAGCTTCTCCTGTTATCACCTCCCTCTCAGTTCTCTTTTTTTATTTTAAGGGTGTTTCCACAATCAACAAAGAGATCTCAGAGATTGAACTCCTGAGGATTCTCCACCCTACAAACACTCACTGTTTAAAATAAATGTGCAAATGCAAAGCTTTGTTTCTATGAATACAGAATAGTTTGGTACAACTAATACCACTTTATAATAGCATTATAAATCATTAGCAGACAGAATAAAAACAAGGTAATGCATAAGAACAACATCTTAAAATAAGGTTCCATTCGTTAACATTTGTTTCATGAACAATTACATTTTTTAAATATCTCAGGTGCATGTTAATTTCTATATACATTTCTAACATTAACGCTATATCAATAAACACAAATTACCTATGAACAACAGTTTATTAATTTATATTAAATTTAATAAATGCTGTAAAAATTGTAATTGTTAGTTCAAGAAAACTAATGCATTAGCAAATGTTACCCACTTTACAATATGTTGCATGTTAACATTAGTTTAACTGACAATATTTTTTACAGAATTTATTAATCTGGGTAATATTAATTTATACTTAAATTTAACTACCATTACCTAACTTTAATTTGCAGTGAAAAAAATTGCATTTATAAATTAGAATTTACCAAGATCAATAAATGCAGTAAAAATATTGTTCAGTTATTTCATGATACCTTATGCATTAACTAATGTCAACTTATGGGAGCTTATTGTAATGTTTTAATGAAAATATATGAAGTGTCATGACATTTCTAATGTACATTAACCATACATTATCTGCTAATAAATACGCAAATGTAATATTTGTTCATTTTATTCAAGTTTTAAGTTTTCAAGTTATTTTAGCTGTCTAAAAAGTCCCATTATACTGTTTGATATTGCGAACTAGCATTTGTTATAATATTATTTTAATTTAATATTATAATCATAAATAAACTGGTTTGTAGCACAAATTTTACTGTGCTTTTTTTATTCTTCTGGTTACTGACCTAAAGCAGCTAAAGAATCAGACAACCCGCACATTCACAGGAAATAGCTTACTTGAGCGTTGGAAAATAAAGGTGAATAAAGTTGATATTTTTTTTAAGAAATCAGAATGTAAGTAAGAGTTTGTGTGTGCATCAGAATACCTTCTGACAGTCTGAGATGGGGATCTCTGTTTGGTGCTGCTCCCTGAGTGGCTGAGAAACCTGCAAGAACAGAACAACCATTCTGTCTTTTGACACTTCAAATGATGCAGAAAAACATTTCAATGCTGGTGTCACTATATGAGAATGAATGTAGTCTTTTTACCTGCATCTGTAGCGGTGTTTAACAAGTGTATCTTTGTACCAAAAAAAAAAAAAGAACACATGCCTGACAGCAAACCTGACATAAACAATTCCTCCCCATGAAAAAGGCAATTGTTATAGACCTGGGTCACAATGGTCACACTAAGGGTGCGGATCCACTTGTCCGTGCGATACTTCTGTCGCGGCGCGCTTTGCTTTATTCCTATGGGTGACGTCACGCAACTTTGACGCGCCCGCAAAGCATCCCGGGAAGGCGGCGCTTCATTTGGAAAAATGCTGTGCGTCAAAAAGCTGGCCGATACCCATCTTTATGCAAATGAATCTGTTGAACGCGCCGCGTCTATCCAATAGAAGTAGAGCACATGGAGACGGAGGGAAGTCTCTCGAGGGTCCTTTGTTCTAGACTGGCCGCTGGCTCAAAACCACGCCCATAGCGGTAAACTTGAGGAACGCCCATCAAAATACAAATCTGGGGAGGCGTCGCGACACCACGCCACAGTCGTGTCGCAAAAGTGGATCTCTACCGTAACTCATATAGTCAGCCTAATGGTGCACAGCTTATTAAGCAAAGGAGAACTCCGGCGCAAAATGAACCTTTGGTCTAATAAAACATTGGTACCTAGTCAACCGTTCTCTGAGATTTGTTTTCATGATAATCGAATGTAAAGAGTTTTATCTCTAAAAACTGTTTAGCGTATAACGCTAGTAATGGGGGCATTTAATAAGTAAAAAGAAATCGCTAGTTAATACCACTAACAAGGCTAAAAATAGCCCCACAATAACACAGTAACACAATGAGGGTCCCTACATGCAAAACGAAGCATTGAGAACTTTGTAAGTGTACAGACCGTTTAATAAGAAGATATTTTATAAAGACAGTCCACTTCGTGTATACAGACAGGAGCCATCTTTGGAAAACAGTCTTGACTAGTCAAACCACGAACGACGTGCTAAGTGAGCTGAACTGTATGAAGTTCAGTAACTTCTGAACTGTATGAATGGCGTTCGTGGTTTGACTAGTCGAGACTGTTTTCCAAAGATGGCTCCAGTCTGTATACACGAAGTGGACTGTCTTTATAAAATATCTTCTTATTAAACGGTCTGTACACTTACAAAGTTCTCAATGCTTCGTTTTGCATGTAGGGACCCTCATTATGTTACTGTGCTAGTGTGGGGCTATTTTGAGCCTTGTTAGTGGTATTAACTAGCGATTTCTTTTTACTTATTAAATGCCCCCATGACTAGCGTTATACGCTAAACAGTTTTTAGAGATAAAACTCTTTACATTCGATTATCATGAAAACAAATCTCAGAGAACGGTTGACTATGTACCAATGTTTTATTAGACCAAAGGTTCTGTTATGTTCTGTAAGACCTTTGCATTTAGTTTGCTACTTTCTCCCCCTAGTGGTCATCTGGGTGTAATTCATTGTCTTCATATATAATTCTTACATTGCTTTCATTGGTTGATTTTATCACATGATGCAGTCTGATCAGGAAACATTAGTAGTTAAATTCCATGCGGTCAGCTCCAGTCACCTTATCCTGTTCCCACTCTGTTTGTGCCTTGAGAAAGCATCGCTTGTAAGTTGTATTTGAATTTATGGTTAATTACATTGATTCATAAGTGTCATGTAAGATGTTCTGTGATGTTACTTGAATATTTATTTGTTAACATGTGAAACTGCTATTGTATAGCCTTTCAGCTAAGAGGTAGCCAATAGTTTGTTAGTTTAGATGCACACATACTATATTTACAAGTTATTTACATTTATAAGCATACCAGCTGAATGTAATATATATGTTACAACTTTGTAGCTTAAAGGTATATTATTTTATGTCTGTTAATGTATGATGTGTTTGAATAGCATTCAGTGATTGGTGCTATCTTTCTGTATCATTTCAGTTTTACAAAAATTCCTTCATGAGAATTACGACAACAGTAAAGAGCCTTGAACTTTACTCCAGCCTCTGACTTTCTCTTGAAGCCTGTTAGCTATCTGTCGATTTGTGTACAGTCACACACACTGAGGACAGAATAGTAAAAAAGCGACTTCACGGCGGGCGAAACAGCAACGAGAAGATTAGGTACTGAGCCAGTACACCCTTTCAAGCATACTAAGGCCTCTCTATTCATCCCTTCTAATACATCTTGAAGGATTGTTAACCATAATGTCGCATACCAGTGAAGCTGGATTGGGAAAAGTGTCCATCACTGACGGTGGTGTTAAAGATCAGGAGACGGCACATGAAGCAAGATCACAACGATCCACCTCATCAAGCACATCTAAAGTATCCTCAGCTAGCAGGGCCGCTACTAGGGCCCGTGCTAAAGTGGAAGCTGCACGTGCACGTGCCACCTTCGTTCAGAGAGAAGCTGAATTGAAAATAAAAGAGGCACATCTTACAGCTGATTTGAAGGTCAAGGAGGCACATATAGCCGCTGAGTTATCAGCTTTGGAGCATGAGAGGGAGATTGCAGTAGCCTCGGCTGAAGCTGAAGTTCTTGAGGCAGCAGCAGAAATCGAAGGTACACAGGGCAGTAGGAGTCTCCACGGCTCAGTTCAAGTCGCCATTCAGCGCACCCGTGAATACGTTGAACACCACTCCCAGCTACGTCTCTGTGATGAGAAACCCCCAGTACTTGAACCATACACGCCATCACTGTTGCCGCTCATCAAACCCGATGTCCAATCAGACAGAAAGGAGCGTCTCCCTGGTCCCAGCAGTGCTTCTCATTTCGTACCCAAGAATGAGGGTGCAATTCAGGCTGCAGCACAACAGCCGGAAAGAGCGACGTCAGTGGTTCGTCAACTCCCCACAAGGGACAACAGCCATAAAATGCAGCAGCCTGAAAGGCCAATACCAGCAATTCATCACCACTCCCTTGATCAGCTCCTCTCTACTCATCCTCACCCTTGCTCTGTCAGTAGAGCCTCATTACAGCCACATATTGGGTATGCAGACGACAGGGCAGGTATGAGTGATATTGCGAGGTACTTGGTACGTCGAGAGCTGGTGAATTCTGGCCTGATCAAATTTAATGATCGTCCAGAAAATTACTGGGCATGGAAGTCTTCATTCTGCAACGCTATTGGAGGACTGAACTTAAGTGCTGGCGAGGAGCTTGACCTCTTAACAAAATGGTTAGGAAATCAGTCTTCGGAGCACGTCATACGGATTCGTTCTGTGCATGTTGCCAGCCCTGATATAGGTCTAAGAATGGCTTGGGACCGCCTAGAGGAGTGCTATGGCTCCCCCGAGGTTATTGAAAGAGCTCTCTTTGAGAGGATAGAGAACTTTCCTAAAATCAGTCATAAAGACCCCGTAAAGCTCAGGGAGCTGGGAGACCTTCTAAGGGAGCTAGTGTCTGCAAAAGCTGAGGGTTACCTGCCAGGGCTCTCATACTTGGACACCGCCAGGGGTGTCAACCCTATCGTTGAGAAGTTGCCAATTGGTCTGCAAGAGAGGTGGTTAGCTCAAGGCTCACAATACAAGGAGCAACACAACGTATGTTTTCCTCCATTTGCATACTTCACAGACTTCATATGCAGTGAAGCACGCAGAAGAAACGACCCAAGCTTCACTCTCTCAACAGCCCCTATAACCCCATTGAATACTTCCCACAGGTTTACTACGGGTCCATCAAAGCTTGAACGAGTGGAAAAGAGACCAGCATATGGCAAAAGCTATGTTTCTGCTCACAAGACTGAAATCGCATCGCTTCAAATAGCGTCTCAGGCGGACAGTTCAAGCAGTAGGCGAGGTGAAATAGACAAACAATGCCCTATCCACAAGAAACCTCATCCTCTGAAAAAGTGTAGAGGTTTTCGAAGCAGGTCATTAGAAGAGCGCAAGGCTTTTCTTAAAGAAAATGGTATCTGTTTCAGATGTTGCTCCTCTACCATTCACCTGGCAAAGAACTGTGAGGCAGCTTTGAAGTGCACAGAATGTGAGAGCGACAGACATATTGCAGCACTGCACCCTGGACCCCCACCATGGGACAGGAGAGGTCCCTCCTCAGAGCATGGCGGGGAGGGTGAAAGAGAAACACTTCAGCAGGCAGTCACCTCTAGGTGCACAGAGGTTTGTGATGACGGTAGGAAACCTAGATCCTGTTCCAAGATTTGCCTAGTAAAGGTTTATCCTAAAGCACGCCCTGACAAAGCTGTGAAAATGTATGTCATTCTGGATGACCAGAGCAACAGGTCCCTGGCCAGGTCTGAATTCTTTGACCTCTTTCAAATCGAAGGGTTAAACTCGCCATATACTCTGCGCACATGTTCAGGGGTCACTGAAGCGTATGGGAGAAGAGCCATAGGGTTCATGGTGGAGTCACTGGATGAAACAACAAGCGTGATGCTCCCCACACTCATTGAATGCAATCACATGCCAAATGACCGCTCTGAGATTCCAACTCCAGCAGCCGCACAGTATCATAGACACCTGAAGTCCATAGCTCATAAGATACCACACCTAGATCTAGAGGCCCAGATACTCCTCCTTCTGGGACGCGACATCCTCCAGGTTCACAAAGTCAGAGAACAACGCAATGGGCCACCCACAGCACCCTACGCTCAAAGACTAGATCTTGGCTGGGTTGTTATAGGTGACGTCTGCTTGAGCTCAGCCCACAAGACAGAGTCTGTGACTTCTTTTCGGACTAGCGTGCTTGAAAATGGCCGTCCATCTCTCCTTACTCCATGTCCCAATCATATTCAAGTCAAGGAGAGGTTTGGCAACGAAGGACTACACTGCACATCTCTTCACGGCTTTATACACCACACCCCAGTCCTCCATGACTGCAGCCTCGGCAGCACAATCTTTGAGAGAACCAAGGATGATGACAAAGTGGGTCTCTCCATCGAAGATGAGCTTTTCCTGGCGCTTATGGATAA